ATTCCGTTATGGGGGCGGGGCCTCGGTGTGGGGGCGGGGCTGTCCCGTTGTGTGGGGGGCGGGGTCTCGGTAAGGAGGCGGGGTCCAGGTGAGGGGGCGTGGCTATCCCGGCGAGTGGGCGTGGCTCTGCCGCTGTGGGGGCGTGGCTCTGCCGCGGTGAGGGGCGTGGTCTCGTGTGGGGGCGTGGCTCTCCCGGTGAGGGGGCGTGGCTGTGCCGGCGAGGGGCGTGGTCTCGCGTGGGGGCGTGGCTCCGCCGCTCTCAGCCGCGGCCATGGCGGCTCCGGGTCCCGCCAGGTGCGCCCGGGGGGGGCTCGCGCTCACCTGGGGCCTCCTGGGGCTGCTGCACCTGGGCGGTGAGTGACGTCATCGGGGGCAGGGGAGGGGGGCACCGAGCCCCAAAACCCGGGGGTTTTATCCCGAAATTCGGGGATTTTATCCCCAAAAAATCGGGGGTTTGGGGTCTAAATTGGGGAATTTTACCCCAAAATTGGGGGGGGTTTATCCCAAAATTGGGAGATTTGATAGAAAAAAAAAAATCAGGTATTTTAACCCAAAAATTTCGTGGATTTTATGCCTAAATTGGGGGATTTTATCCCAAAAAAATCGGGGGTTTGGGGCCAAAATTGGGGAATTTTACCCCAAAATTGGGGAGGTTTCATCCCAAAATTGGGGGATTTGATAGAAAAAAATTCAGGTATTTTAACTCAAAGATTTCGGGGATTTTATCCCAAAATTCGTGGATTTTATCTCAAAAAATTCTGGGATTTGGGGCCAAAATTCGGGGATTTGATCCTAAAAAATTTGGGGGTTTTATCCCAAAAAATTCAGAGAACTGGGGCCAAAACTGGGGGATTTTAACCCAAAAATTCGGGGATTTATCTCAAAAATTGGGGGAATTTTATCTCAAAATTCGGGGATATTGTCCCAAAAAATTTGGGGATTTTATCCCAAAAAATTCAGAGATTTGAGGCCAAAATTGGGGGATTTAAACCCAAAATTCAGGAATTTAATCCCAAGAAAATTCCAGGATTTGATCCCAAAATTGGGAGATTTTATAAAGAAATATTTCAGGATTTGGGGCCAAAATGGGGGGATTTTATATTAAAAAAAAAAAATTGGGGATTCTCTCCAAAAAATTCGGGGATTTCATCCCAAAATTCAGGAATCTCATCCCAAAAATATTCAGCGATTTTTTCCCAAATTTGGGGGATTTCATCCCAAAAAAACCCAGGGATTTGGGCCCAAAATGCCGTAATTTTATCCCCAAAAAACTGAGGGATTTTATCCCAAAAATTTGATGGATTTTATCCAAAAAAATTCAGGAATTTTATCCCAAAATTCAGGGATTTTATCCCCAAAAATCCGGGGATTTCCCCTAAAATCAAGGAATTTTACCCCAAAATTCAGGAATTCTATCCTCAAAAAACAAATCAAGGGATTTTTTCCCAAAATTCCCATTTTTTTCCCCAAATTCCAAAAATTTGATGGATTTTATCCAAAAAAATTCAGGAATTTTATCCCAAAATTCAGGGATTTTATCCTCAAAAAACAAATCAAGGGATTTTTTCCCAAAATTCCCATTTTTTCCCCCAAATTCCAGGATTTTTTTCCCCAAAATTCCCATTTTTTTTCCCAAAATTCCAGAATTTTTTTCCCCAAAATTCCCATTTTTCGCCCCCCATTCCCCTCCCCCTTCCCAAATTCCGGGAATTTCCCTTTTCCCGCCCATTTTTTCCCGGCAATTCCCGCCCCTCCCCCGTCCTTGGGCCCCGATCGATTTTTGGGGGCAAATTCCGCGATTTTGGGGCCCCCGCGCGACCTTTGGCCCCTCCCGGATCCCGGATCCCGGATTTCCCAGAATTCCCCAATTCCCCTCCCCCACTTTCAACTTTTTTCCCCAAATTTCCCCCATTTCCCCCAAATTTTTCCAATTTTCCCCAAATTTTCCCCATTTTGTCCCAAATTTTTGGGGTCCAAACACCCCCCAACCCCCAATTTCCCCATTTTGTCCTCTTTCCCCCCAATTTTCCCGATTTCCCCAAATTTTCCCCGTTTTCCCCACATTTTCCTGATTTTCCCCCAATTTTTCCCAATTTCCCCCAAATTTTCCCGATTTTCCCCAAATTTCCCCCCAAATTTTCCCAATTTCCCCCAAATTTTCCTGCTTTTCCCCCCAATTTCCCCAAAAATTTCCCAGACCCCAGGTGTGCCCAGGTGCGCCCAGGTGTGCCCAGGTGAGCTCAGGTGTCCCCCAGGTGAGCCCAGGTGCCCTCAGGTGCTCCCAGTGCTCTCAGGTGAGCCCAGGTGTGCCCAGGTGAGCTCAGGTGTGCCCAGGTGAGCTCAGGTGCCCTCAGGTGCCCCAGGTGTGCCCAGGTGTATCCCCAGGTGTGCCTAGGTGTGCCCCAGGTGCCTGCAGGTGACTCCGGTATGCCCCCAGGCGAGCCCAGGTTTGCCCCAGGTATCCCCAGCAGTCCCAGGTGTGCCCAGGTACTCCCAGGTGTGCCCAGGTGTGCCCCCAGCTATCTCCAGGTGTGCCCAGGTGTGCCCAGGTCCCCTGTCCCCAGTCTCTCTCACCTGTCTCATTCTCACCTGTCCCCCCTCCCTCACCTGTCCCTGTCTCACCTGTCCCTCTCTCACCTGTCTCACCTGTCCCTCTCTCACCTGTCCCTGTCTCACCTGTCCCTCTCTCACCTGTCCCTGTCTCACCTGCCCCTCTCTCACCTGTCCCTCTCTCACCTGTCTCACCTGTCCCTGTCCCACCTGCCCCGCAGGTGCGGCTGGTGAACGGCTCCTCCAGGTGCGTGGGCAGGGTGGAGGTGCTGCACGGGCACAGGTGGGGCTCGGTCTGCGACGACACCTGGGACATGGCGGACGCGCAGGTGAGGGGACACACCTGGGCACACCTGGGACACACCTGGGAACACCTGGGGACACACCTGGGACAGAGGGGACACACCTGTGCCCACCTGTGCCCTCACCTGTCCCCCCAGGTGCTGTGCCGCTCCCTGGGCTGCGGCCCCGCCCTGGCCGCGCCCGGCCACGCCCGCTTCGGGCCGGGGGCGGGGCCCGTCTGGCTGGACGGGACGCACTGCACAGGTGAGGAGCTCACCTTGGCCAGGTGCCGCCTGCACACCTGGGGGGAGCACGACTGCGGCCACAGCGAGGACGCCGGCGCCGTCTGCGCAGGTGAGCGCCGGACAGGTGAGGGCGGGGCAGTGAGAGCAGGTGAGGGCGGGGGGACAGGTGAGGGGCACGTGAGCCACAGGTGAGCTCAGGTGAGCTCAGGTGGGGACAGGTGAGGGCAGGTGGGGGACAGGTGAGCGCAGCCCTACCTGGCCGAGCTCACCTGCCGCGGCTCCGAGGAGCTGC